TGCTTCTTGGACCTAGAATTAGGGTGTCCAAAAGGTGGGGCCCAGTCATGGGAGTCAGTGCAGTGGGCCTTGGGATGTTCCTGTGCCTGGCATCAGAGCTTAGGACAAGGTGAGCTGAGGTGACAGTGGCCTGGGCGGACCCCGTTCCCAGCCGTGCCTAATCAATGGGTGACCTCACCTTCCTAAGTCTCTCTTGCTCTGGGTGTGAAATAGACTTCCCGGCCCCAGGCTCCACGGCAAGGCTGTGCGTGCCCAACCCTGCTGAGCTCTTACCTGTTGTTCTGGGGTCAGACCCAGATCCTGAAACAGCTGTCCCCGCCTTCGCTACCTCCACCCCTGAACCTGGTCAGCCAGCCCCTCCCTCCTCCTAATGGACTCTATGGCTGCCTCCTCCCAGTGTCCCCTTCTCTGAGGGACACCCCAAGCCTATGCCTGTCTCACCTTGGCTGTCCCTGGGGCAGGTCGCCTCAGTGTCTAATGTGACCCTGCCGTCTGGGCTGTACCCTGATGATGGCCCTGATTTAAGCCTCGTTCCCCTTTCCCGCCTGTCTTCGTTTGTCCTGGATGGGATTGTCACCTCGTGCTCCTATAACTCCTCACTGAGCTATCCCCCTGTGGCCCGCTACACCAGGTGACCATGCTACCCCTCCCCCACGCACTCCCTACCTCTTCTTTTTTTTTTTTTTTTTTTTGATTTTTCGAGACAGGGTTTCTCTATATTGCTTTGGAGGCTGTCCTGGAACCAGCTCTTGTAGACCAGGCTGGCCTCGAACTCACAGAGATCCGCCTGCCTCTGCCTCCCAAGTGCTGGGATTAAAGGTGTGTGCCACCAACGCCCGGCTTCCCTACCTCTTCTTTAACCTCCGCTCTTGACCCGTGCCCCCCCAACACCGCAGCTGGCCAAAAAGCTGCCCCAGGTCCACGTCGCCCCGGCTCCGTGTCCTCCTTGGCCTTGTGGGCCAGCGGAGGTGGGGCTGAGGACAGAGAAAGCAGAGGCAGGGTACCAGCAGAGGGACAGGGGCAGAGGCACCGAGCACGGGCCTGGCCCAGAAATCAGGGACCCCAACAGCTGCGGCAGAGACCAAGGGGTTGGGATAAGCGCTCGTCGCGACAGGGACCACAGTGTGTATGGAGTGAGGACAGGACCAAAGAGCTAGCTAGCCAGGGAGCAGCGGGCCCAGGCAGAAGCGAGGCACATGGGGACACAGCCCCAAAAGGAAGGCCTGGGCTGAGCACCGGCGCCATAGGAGGTGAAGGAGCCGCAGGCTGGGGGCGCAGGCAGGGGCCGCGCCTCGGTGGGCTGGCTGGGCTCCAGAAGGGCGCCGGCGGCAGGGGACAGGGCTGGGCCGCTGCTGGCCTCGGCTGATACTGCTGTGGGTGATGAGGTGACAGGCTGCGGGGCGCTGGCTGGTCCCGTGCGGGCAGCGGCGGTCGCCGGTGACCCCTTCTGGGCCCCTCGACCTGGACAGAGCCTCTGCCGCAGCGGACTGGGAGGGAGGGGCGGGGGTTTTCGCTGCTGCTGCTGCTGCTGCTGCTGCCGCTGCCGCTGCCGCTGTCGCTGCAGAATGAGGGGCTGGGGACACCTGCGACAGCCGCTGCCACCCCGGTGGCTGCAGTAGGCCTGCTGCCAGTGAGCCTGGGGCGGCAGCTGACAGGGCCCATGGGCGTGAGTGGCCACCGGGTCCTGGTACCACTGACGACAGCGTCCTGGAAGGAAGGAAGTGGGGGTGACTGGGACTGGGTCCCGGTCCCCCTGGGGACTCTGGTTTGAACCAGGCTGGACTGGAGCATCCGTGGGAGCCCCAGAGGCCCCAGGAGTGAGATGGGCCCAGAGGACCTGGGGGAGGACACACATGGTCTGTGCTCCCCAGGGAGGATGGAGAGAGGACGCTACAGGAGGTTCCTGCATCCTGACACCCCAATTCCTCAAGCTAACTTCCTGCATTCCTAGGTGGGGGCCTCACTGCAAAATCTTAGCGTGAGGATGTCTGGGGATCTGCTAGGAGCCGGCCGGGCTGGTCGGAAGTGGCCGGAGTGGTCATGGAGCGGGGACAGGCCAGGGCTGAGAAGACAGGTAGACCCCCAGGAGTCTGTGACAGCCCCCTCCCCACTCCCCTCGGTCATTGTGAGAACCTGAGCCACTACCTCAGACACACTCAGTGGGGGTCTCCCCCTCTACCCTGGCTCCTCGAGGCTGTCCCCACAGCCCGGAGATTTTCAGGAGTCCCCGGCTCCCGCCCCAGTGAACGCTGCAGTCTTTGGATCAGTGACAAGCATGGCGGGCGCACCTGTAGTATACTCGTGAGAGCCTGGGGTAGGAGGAGTGCATGAGCCTAGGAGGTCAAGGCTGGCCTGGGCAACAGCGAGACCAGTCTCACTTTGTAGCCCAGGCTAGCCTCGAACTTGCAACAGTCCTCCTGCCTCAGCCTGGAAGGGACCACAGACGTGTGCCACAACAGTCAGCTCTTGCGGCCTTTCTCCTTGGAGTCTGTGGTTGCACAAACATTCAGCACCCACCCTGCCCCCCCTCTCCTGACACAACCCACCCCCTCGAAAATGAACTCTTACCTTTTTGGTGGCCCAACTGAGGATCCAAAAAGTATTGTTCATTGCGGGTCCGGGCACTCTTGGTGAAGTGGACATTGTAGTTTTTCTGCATGGCGGGCCGTGACGTCAGTGGCCCGTTCCTAGATGGGAAGGGTCAGCGTTCAGCTTGGTAGGGTCCCCTAGTCTATTCTAAGATGTGACCTTGGACAGGGCAAGAGGCACAGTCGAAATTCAGGGGAGGGGGACTAGGTCACTGGAGCGGCCACTGAAGCCAGAAATTGGCCTGGTCACAGGAGGGAGAGACAATGGTCAGATGACTGGGGGGTCCTGTGGGGCCAGGTGGGGAGTTCAGAGCTTGGGGGGGGCGGCTACGGGAGACTGATGCAGAGTGAGAAAATCTCTAAAATCTAAGAGTGGGGAACTAACTGCCCGGCGTGGCGGCACATGCCTGTAATCGCAGCACTCAGGAGACACAGGCAAGGGGCCAGAAAGAGCTAAAGCAAACGTAAATAAGTGTGTGGCCCTGACACGGAGACGGAGAGAAGGGACATCTGGGGTAATGGGAAACTCGTGCCTCCCGAGGAGACTCAGACATCGGGGTGTTCAGAGGTTCGGAGGAGTTAGAGCGGAGCCGGGAAAGATTCCGTCTGGCCCAGGACGATGGGAACCTGGGTGATTAGGGTTGGGGGATGGGGCCAGTGGTCCAGCCTACCACCGCACGCCCTCCCCATCCCAGCCTGGGCTCCCAGTACCTACCTGGTGGTGGCCCCCGCGGCCCCAGCTCCCTGCCGTGGCCCCGCGCAGGCCTGGCTGGAGCCCAGTGGCGCCCGCTCGGCCGGTTCTCCGGCGTGTGTCCCCGCCCTTTGGGCAGGCGCCTGGCCTGCTGCTCTCTAGGACTGGGTGCCTGGGAGAGAATGAACCCAGGAGGGGGTGGAGAGTCCACAACAATCCTCACACCAGGTTCCTGCACACCTCTGCTGGGAGGGAGGAGGCCAAAAAAAAAAAAAAAAAATCCGGACCGTCTGCTGGCTCCTCCGCGGCACAGCTGTGTGACCGCGGGTCAGTGACTTCATCTCTCCGGCTTCCTCATCGATGAATAGGTCAAATTGGCACCTGTTTCTTGAGGTTGTCCAAAGGGTGACCCACTTACCAGGCGCTGCTCCGGATGCCTCGCATAGAACCCTGGCACAAACAGGGAGCGGCTTCTGAGCCGGGTCCCTCGCCAGCCCCCTTGATCATCACGACCCACGGAAGTCGCCCCCACTTCACAGATGAGGAGTCTGAGGCCCGGACCACACAGAATGGGGGATTGAAAGGCTGTGGTGGCTTCCGGGGCTCTGCCCCGTGCTCGGCCCTGCCAGGGAGGTGCTGGGGGAATGACACTCCATACTGTGGGAGTCTTTCCGGGCGAGCATCGGCCTTGGGCGGCCACACTGCCTCCTGCTGTCAGGGCCAGGCCGCCCCCTCCCACTGCCATTGAAGCCCCTTCTTTGGGAGTGTCCCCTGGCCGGTGTGGGAGGCAGGGATTATCTGGAGGTGAACTCTGGGCTGTTAGTCCTGCCCACTCGGCCGTGTAGCAAAGCACAGCAGATACTCAAGGCTGCTGGATCCCGAGGGTGGCGCCGAACAGGCAGGGGGGTATGTAGGGAATTGGAGAGAGGAGCAGGCCGGGGAAACTGGGGGCATCTGGACTAGATACGCAGCCACAGGGAGCCAGCTGAGCCTGGTGACGTATCAATCATCAGTTGGAAGGCTGAGGCACCCAGGTGCCTTTAAGGACCACCTGTGAGTTCAAGGCCAACCTGAGCTACATAACTAGACCTTGTCTTCTTGTGTATATGAATGTTTTTTGTTTTTTGTAGACAGGGTTTCTCTGTGGCTTTGGAGGCTGTCCTGGAAGTCACTCTGTAGACCAGGCTGGTCTCGAACTCACAGTGATCCACCTGCCTCTGCCTCCCGAGTGCTGGGATTAAAGGCGTGCACCACCAACGCCCGGCTTGCTTGCATTTATGTGTGGGTACCCGGTACCCACAGTAATTAGAACAAGGCTTCTCCGAGACCTCTGGAAGTGGGTGGTTGTGAGCCACTTCGTGGGTGCTGGGAATCAAACCCAGGCCCTCGACAAGAGCAACGAGGGCTCTTAACCTCCAGACCATCTGCCCTGTCCAGCCCGGAGAGACCTTGTCTTGGGGCTAGGGGGCTGGAGCAGCTCAGTAACTAGAAGTGCACAGTGCTCCTAGAGAGGAGTGGATTCAGCAGACATCCATATAATTTGCAGTCCCCGGGCCTGGTGTCTATCCACACAGCAGTGCGCAGCAGAGCCCAGGCTCCAGTCCGAGTGCAGCAGGGTGAGGCTGTGTCCTGCTGGGCCAAGGGTGGCCCCAGACATGTTGGCAGGGGCTGTGAGCTCAGGGTGGGGGTGGGTGCAGAGAGACAGTCACCGCACACATCTGTTTCCACATAAAGAACCTTTATTGAGCATCTGTTATCTGGGTGATGCCCCAGTGCCCCTCCATGCCCATTCTGAAGTCACGGGACTGTCCTGCTGCCTGGGACCCTCTGGCTCCAGCACACAGGTCACCGCAGAGGTGACCACTCAGACAGTGACATGGTGCCAGTGTCCTGGGGCTGAGGTCGGGCCGGGCAAGCCTGGGGTCCTCAGGACTTCTGCATCACCACCTGGAACTTACCTGGAAGGGAAGGAAGGGCGCCTTTAACCAGGGCCGGGATAGGAAGCCTGTCAGCAGACTGGCTGTCCCCCTGCACCAACAGCCCGGGGTGCCCTGCAGTGAGTGGGTCACAGGGGGGCCACTCCCACCCAACTGGCTCGCATCCCAGGGCCAGGTGGCTGAATGTGTAGGAGGTGGGAGGGCTAGCCTGAGCTCCTGATGTGCCCTGCTCATTCATCTCAGGCCTCCAGTGGCAAGGAGGGGGTGGCAGGTGCCCACTGGGGGGTGGGGCTCAGGCCCACTCATGCCTGATGGGGTGAAGATAACAGCGGATGGGTGGTGAGATTCTACTTTTCCAAGTCATCAGGGAACCTGCCCAGGGTGTCTGAGATGTCCCGCTGCTGGTTATGTTTTGGTTATCTGGTTCCCCTGTCAACACTGATGAGGGACCGGGGATGCCAAGCACCCCTCCCCCATGACTTACAGGCAGGCAGGGCAGTCACAGAGGCGGTGACCAGGCTCCGGAAGCCCAGGGTATGGAGGGCGCCGCACAGAAGGCCGCAGGTGAAGGCCAGGAACTAGGATGGGGGACACGGACCACTGTGGGAAGAGGGGAGGCTGGGCCCCAGCCCCAGGGGAGGCCGAGCAGCGGGTGGACACACAGGCATGTCCTGTACTACCCCCAGTACCTTGGGCGCTTCCTCTATATACTGAGACCCTGAGCCCATGGTGAGGAGGAGGGGGAAGTTGTTGTCCTGCAGCACATAGGTCCCCTGGTGACAGAAAAGACAGATGGGACTGGGCATGGGCGGAGGACCCCGGAACCCAATCCTTTAGCGCTGGGAGGGCCACCTGCTGGCCACGTGGCTTAGGAAACAGTCCCTCAGGAAGGGACAAGAATCGTCTTGTCGAGGCCACCAGCTGCCTGTGTGGGACTCACACAGAAATAGCCCTGCCACCTACTGTAGCCCCGGCTTCCCTTAGGGGCTCCACGGAGGCGTAGATGATAATGGCAATCTCGGGCTCTTGCCTCTCAAGTCCCCAGGGAGCTGGCTGTGATGTTCCCTTGTAGGGTTCCCACTGCCCCCAACCTGGAGGCCAGGGGCTGGGGCTGGGCCAGGCCGGCTCACACCCACCTGGTGGTTGGTGCGGAGGCCATCCATGTGCTTTTGGAACATGGCTGCCCACAGGTCTTTGCACAGGAACTTGAGGGCATCCAGTTCCTCTCTGACGGCCAGCGTCTCCCGGGGCAGCCTGGATGAGGTGTGGGATGAAGCCAGGCCCATCCAGCACATGCGTGGGCCCACGCGACCTTCTCCACCCTAGGTCTTGCCGGCAGGAACCCCAACATCAGGACTGCCCACCCTCCCAGGCAGCAGCAAGGCAGGCGGGGCTGGCTCTCACCTCTCACCCAGAGCCTGGCCCACGCGGAAGCCCAGGCCCTCCAGGACTGACCAGCTCTTCTTCTTTCCCTAGAAGGCCGAGAGAGGGAGGCCACGGAGAGCTCTTACACGTTTCTTCCCCAGCTTTCTCTCCCCTAGGCTAGGAAAGCTCAGCTTCCAGATCCTTCTACCCGGTTCTCATCTGCCCCTGACCCCATGTTGTTTCTGTGAGGTTGGGGACGAGCTGCCAAGTTCACTTAGGTCACCAGCCACAAAGACCCAACAGGAGAAGGGAGGGGGCGGGGGCTGAGCAGGGGCTCATGGGAAAGCCATTTGCCTTCCATGTTGGGGAGCTGAGGCAGGCTGCCCTTCATGGGAGCAAACAGGCTCTAAAGGGTTAAGCAGCCGCCCTAGGCCCACTGCAGACCTGTCATCCTGTCATCGGCTGCCTGGACGGCTGAGGCAGGAATGTCACCCGATGGCCCCAACTATGAGTGCATTCACGGCCAGCGTGGGCAACTTGGACAAACCCAACGTTGAGAGAGAAATTCAAGGCAGGTGTGGTGAGGTGCCCGACAGTCCCCAAGCATGGTGGGGGCAGAGGTGAGGGGGCTAGGAGCGTGTCGCCCTCAACCACAGTGAGCTGAGCCCAGCCTGGGCCGCACGAGGCCCTGTCTCAGTCACAGAAGAGGGCTGGGGGCTCAGCGCAGGGGACCCTGGGTGAAGGGCAGCCACATCTCTAATCAAGGTGAAGGCTGAGGCAGAAGAATCAAACTTGAGGCCAACCAGGGCTACATACTGAGACGCCTCAGCTACCCCTCCGAGCTGAGCATGATAGCATGGGTGGATCTCCGTGAGTTCAGGGCCGGCCTGGTCTACATCGTGAGTTCCAGGACCACCAGAGCAACATAATCTTGTCTCAAAACACCAAAACAGAGAGAATAAAACAAAATATCAAAGCAAGTCAGCAAAACTGGCTCAGTGGGTAAGGGTGTTGGTCAAGTCTGAAGACCTGAGTTACATTTTGGGCTCTTACAAGGAAGGAGAGAACTGACCACCTAGAGTTATCTTCTGGCTGGGTACTGTGGGACACGCCTTTAATCCCAGCACTCTGGAGGTAGAGGCAATCAGGTCTCTGAGTTTGAGGCCAGCCTGGTCTACAGAGCTAGTTCAGGACAGCCAGGACTACAGAGTGAGAGACTGTTTCAAAACCAACAACGAGTTGTATGTGATCTTCACACTCACGTCATGCCCTGTTCCCTACAAAATAAATGTAATAAAAACACATCACTGCGGAGTCAGGCTCACCCAAACGGGCAGAGACAACAGACTCTCCCACAGGAGGGTGGTGGAGAGCTCTGCCGGCTTCCTCCGGCACAGCCCAGGAGGAAAGGGCATCCGTGGGGGACAGCTGGTGCTGGCCTGCAGGGTGACATGGGCGATCCCATCCGTCATCCTTGTGCCGTATCGTTTGGTGTTCTGAGATACACCCTCACACTTCCCGCATGGAGAGGGGCCAGGGAGATGGGGCGGCACTGAATATCCATGCCTCAGTTTCTTTTGGCAGGAAAGGAAGGTAGCCTGAGCAGCGGTCCCCTGGGAGCCTTAGACGTGAGGGAAGGGGTCAGGGGTGGAGGTTCAAACAGAAACCGACCTCTTAAGGCTTACTGTGACACCCTGCACATGCGTGTGACCTGTGCCCATCAAAAGAGGTGATATCTTCTAGGCAGAGTGAATGAAGACACTGCCTGGAGGAGAACACTCTAAAGGAGGCGGCCATGTTCCACAGCTCCAGAACCAAGAATACAGGCAGTAAGTGAGCCCGGGGACCCTGGTGGCCACTGTTTCCCCTCAGGGTTCCTGGAGGCAGAGCCAGCCCTCCCGTGAAGGAATACATGTGTCCATGCTCAGGGTTCCCTAGGGAGACAGGGAATGTCCAACCCTCTGTGGCTCAGGCTTCCTAGATGCTGGCCCACCAGCCAAGTCGGGAGAAGAGGGGCCAGAGGGGTCACTAGCAAGCTCAAGTTTTCCTTCTGCAAACTTCAAGATCCCCGGGATGGACACCGTGGATGTGTGACCCAGATACAGGGGCCTCGGTTCCCCACACGTGCAATGAAGCCTAAGGCACTGCCTACTTACAGTGACGGCGACAGACACAGCTGTTGTCACTACTGGCTGCCCTCTGCCTGTCCCTGGACAAGGGTCAATTAAGGATCTACTGAACTGAATAGGCCGGAGCGGCAGGGTCACAGGCTCAGGGGTGAGGTGTTGTGGGATATTTGTACACTGTGTGAAGGAAGACATATTTCGGCCAATAGCTAGGCAGGAGGTATGGGCGGGACTTCTGGGCAGAGAGAGGACCAGGGGGAGGTAACGGAGGTGGGGAGGATATTCCAGGAGACAGAGGAAGCAGGATGGGTGTACGTGAGAGAACATAGATGAACAGAAATGGGTCAATTTAAGTGATAAGAGCTACTTAAAAACAAGCTAAGGCCGAGCTTTCATAAGTAATAACAGGTCAACCACACAAACAGAGAAGTCCTACCAGCCAGCACAGCCACAGTCACGGCCTGGGCCGCTTCGCTCTCGGAGACTCGGAAGTGGACCCCAAACTTCCCAGAGCACGGGCAGCAAATGCGGCTATGGCACGAGGCTAGTCTCTCAGGGAACCGAGGAGAATGGAGCTAGCCACCTAAATACCTACTAAGAGTTCAGGATTTGTCTTAAACAGTCAGAGAACATTACAAATGCACAGAAAGTCAGGTCCAGACTCACACACACACACACACACACACACATACACACACACACACACACACACACACAACTCTGTAAAATCTTTACCGGGTAGTGGTGGCGCATGCCTTTGATCCCAGCACTCTGGAGGCAGAGGCAGGCGGATCTGTGAGTTAGAGGCTAGCCTGGTCTACAGAATGAATACCAGGACAGGTGCCAAAGCCACAGAGAAACCCTGTCTCAAAAAAGCAAATGCGAAATCTTTAAAGAGAGAGTAAAGTAATAAAAAAGAAGGATGGGAAATATTATAACACAGGGGCTTTGGACCTTATATGGTGCTTTGTTAAGTTTGAATTTCATTGCTAATGTACAAAAACAACAGCTGCTGAGAGACACTGGATTATAGAAACTGCTAAATTAAGCCAGCCTATATATTTTGAGAATATTCCATTTCAAAATGGAAGTCAAAATACATGTTGTATTGGGGGAGAGGTTGTGCCTTTGTTTCCACAGGAAACAAAAAGCTATGGTTCTCTTCAAAATTAATAAAGATCAGACTTGATTGAGGGAGACCTCCTGACAATCTTGACTACAGACACGAGAAAAGAAACTAAGGAAGACTTTAAGACAGGTGACGTATATGCTAATCCCTCTACAATGGGAACAACTCTGAGACTGGATGAGACACCATAAATCTTGTTGGCTACAGAGTCCTCATGTTTTATTATTACATGCCATCCTTTCGTACAGTTTAGTTATACAGTCCAAACAGAGCTGTAAAGTTAACAGATACCTTTTACCTGCTCAAACCTAGAAAAAAAATCATCTTTACCTGACTTACACACCCCACACATTCCATACTTGTGTTAACACAGATATATCTGTATCTGTATCCATATACAGATAGATAGCTATGTTACCTTTAAAAGTTTGTGTTTTCACGCCGGGCGTTGGTGGCGCACGCCTTTAATCCCAGCACTCGGGAGGCAGAGGCAGGCGGATCGCTGTGAGTTCGAGGCCAGGCTGGACCAACAGCCTCGAAAACAATACAGAGAAACCCTGTCTTGTAAAACCAAAAAAAAAAAAAAGTTTGTGTTTTCAGAAAACAAAAGGGACCAGGTATCAATAAAGACAGGTGGCCCAGGTGACCCAGCCTTTCAGAATGCCTCTGCTGCAGTTTCCTCAAAACTCTATGTCCAGAACAATTTCAAAGTTGCTAACTAAGATGGTCCAGCCTCAGACTTCAGAGAAGCCCTGCATTTTCCATCACACCGAGGCTGGACAACAGATGATACCACTAGCTCTCCCAGGACTTGACCATTATCCCACTTTTCTCAGGGTCTTACAAGGACGCCATCACCCCAAACAACAGGAAGCAGTCTGGAGAACACAACGTCCACATTCCCAAGAGGTAGGGAGGGTGGTTTTTGGTCATTTGGTGGGTTGTGGATGTTTGCCATCATTTAGGGGGGTTGGCTGCTAGTTGTTATTGGTCATAGTCAGGGAGAAAGCTGAACAAAGAAGATCAGATTCAGGGGTCTCATTCTGAAAAGAAAAAGGGGGGATATAGAAATGATAGTATAAAAAGGTAGATTATTGAAGCTACTTTCAAACTAAAAAAGCAACTAGTCTCAAATCTTTTACATTGCTATGGACTTTACTATGTATTGATACAAATTTAAGGTTATTTTTGTTATAGTGTACATATGTTTCTACTCTTGGAGATATTTTCGAATACTGACACAAAGTTAAGGTTGTTTTCATTATACTGTATATATGTTTCCCTTCTTGTTCAAGATGTTTTTGTATATAGATACATTTTTAAGGTTATTTTTGTTACATGTATATGTGTTTCTATTCTTGTTTAAGGTATTGCACCTATGCAGCTCATTTAAAAATGGAACATGAAGTTCTAGCCCTTAAAAGCCATTATTATAATGCTGGGCGGTGGTGGCACACGCCTTTAATCCAGCACTCGGGAGGGAGTCAGAGGCAGGTGGATCTCTGTGAGTATGAGGTCAGCCTGGTCTACAGAGCGAGTTCTAGGACAGCCTCCAAAGCCACAGAGAAACCCTGTCTCGAAAAAAAAAAAATAAAAGGAGACACAGATGTTGCAGGACACAACATAGATTAACAGAAATGGGCTAATTTAAATGATAAGAGCTAGCTAAAAACAAACCTAAGCTAAGGCCAGGCTTCTATTATTAATAAATCTCCATGCGGTTATTTGTGAGCTGACAGCCCAAAGAAAATCCAACTACGGGGGGGGGCATGACACGGACGGACGGACACACACAAAACAGAAAGCAGGGGGAGGGGCAGGAAAGATGGGCAGAGGAGGCGAAGCCCCCACCACAGGAGCCTCCAAAGGCCCTTTGACATTTTTAAATCTTATTCTCCTGGAGGAGATAAAGCAGGGACGCTACTGCCCCTGTGAACAGACCAGAGCCCGGCCAGCCAGCATGGGCTGTCCCTGCTGGCCACATGGTCACGGGTGGAAAGAACAGGAGTGTGACACACAGAGACAGACTGGGAGAGATGTGGTCAGTCTGGAACGCACCACATACAGTACAAAGCAAAGACAGCTGGGTCGGCCAGAGACAAATTCTGGGGCTAAAGGACTGAGTTTTTGTTTTTGACTGTCCCCAGAGCCTGTGCAGCTTCCAAAACAAAGACGTTCTTCCAAAGCCCCAGTCCTGAAAACCAAGACAAGTTGTCTGCTTCAGGTGCTGTTCTAGGACCGGAACACTTAATCTCCACAGGTAACCGGTAAAAGTCCTTCTGATGAGATGAATCCACTCTCTGCCACACACCTTGCTTTATTTTATTGTGCTGAGGATAAAACCTAGGCCCTCACTGGGGGATTCTAGGCAGGGGCTCTACTGCTGAGCCACACCCCAGCCCCTCACTGGGGGATTCTAGGCAGGGGCTCTACCACTGAGCCACACCCCAGCCCCTCACTGGGGGATTCTAGGCAGGGGCTCTACTGCTGAGCCACACCCCCAGCCTGTTTTTGTTTTTCTTGAGACAGGGTTTCTCTGTGTAACCCTGGCCTTCCTGGAACTAGCTGTATAGAGCAGGCTGGTCTTGAACTCAGAGAGATCCTCCTGCCTCTGCCTCCTGAGTGTTGGGACTAAAGGTGTGTGCCACCACAGTCCAGCAGCCTTCTTATGGACTGTAAATCCTTTCCTGACAGTTATAAAGCTAATGCAATGTTACTGCTCTACAGTTATACCATACAGTCTAGGAAATTAAAAAGTTTGTGAATAATCATTACAGATGTAACAGAAAACAAATCTGTTCCTCTGCCTTTAATCCCAGCACTTGAGAGACAGAAGCAGGCAGATCTCACTGAGTTCGAGGCCAGCCTGGTCTTCACAGTGAGTGCCAGGACAGGTTCCAAAGCTACAGAGAAACCCTATGGGGGGGGGGGTCTGTGCCTCCAATCCCAGGGAAAGTGTAGGCAGGAGGGTCCATGTTGGAGACCAGAATAGATAAGTGAGCGACCTTGGCTCTGGGTGCAGCTCTGTGGGATACAAAGGTCAACTGTACCACATCGGGGACAAAAACAGACACGGGGGTCGGAGAAGGCACGGAGTGAGAACGTTCAGTTTGGAGTCTGCACACCTCTAATCCCAGCAGTATCCAGGCAGAGGCAGGACCATTATCAGGAGCCAGCCTGGGCTACACAGTGAAAACCTGCCTCACATACTACATGCTCAGGGGATGGGGCTGACTGCGGGGGTGGGGGGAGGAGAGAAAATAATATAGGGGGCAGGAACTGTCTCCACAGCAGGTTCTGAACTCCCACACGGAACGATCCAGAGGAAGCCACGACAACTGCCAAGGAGCCTAAAGTCAGGGAGGTCCCTGCGACCTGACGATCGGACCTCACCGCCAGCAACTCTATATAACGTCAGCTGGGGGACCCCAGTAAGGAAACTCTCGGTGGCAGTGGCAGGAGCTGCCGCAAGAGGGTCCCCGGCAGGCTCGCATCGCTGCAGGCTCGCACAGAGCTGAGTGCAAGCAGTCTCCTCGTGGCCCGGATGGAAGGGTCAGGCTGGCTGCCCCGGGATGGGGTGGGAGACCCAGGAAAATGGGAGTGTGCCGCCCAGGACAGTAGGAAGGACACGTCAGTGGAAGGAGCCGCCACGGGTTACAATACTCCAGGGACCCCAGCAACACCCTCCAATCACCGGGTGGGGCAAAGCCTTACTGAAAGACCCGCCTTGTGCTGGGGCGTGATGCGATCAGCAGACTTTACCCCGGGGGACACGGGCGTCGGGGACAGGCGACACGGGCGTCGGGGACAGGCGACACGGGGGTACGGCCGCGGCGTAGGTTTCCAAGGAGGAGACGGAAGGGCAGGGAGAGTAGGACGTAGAGTTGCTCACAAGTGAGAGGTGAGGCGAGCCCTCCCCCGCCCCTAGTAATCGCCAGTCGCCCTAGTTACCAACAGCGCGGCAGGGCCAGGCCCCGAACTGCCCGCCCCGCCGCCCCGCGTCGCCTCAACCCCGGGCCACGTCGTGCCGCTCACCCCCGAGCCAGGGTCTGCGTCCGGGGCCCACAGCTCCGCCACCATCTCGGTGTGCAGGAACTCGAACAACACCGCGTCCGCCATGCGCCGCCTCGCGCCCCTCCGCGCTCCCCGACAACCCCTCCCCCGCTTCCCCATTGGTCAGCGCAGGAGGTAGAACCGTTCTGATTGGTTTTCTGGCACGGCCCCGCCCCTTCTCGGGGCGGGTCCATCGAGTCCCTTCCCGGGCCGCGCACGTTAACCTCTTCCGCCCTTACTTCGCTTCCCTCGCAGTTTCCGGGTCTTTGGACGTTCCCATTGGCCGAGTCTCAGATCCTAGGTGACGGTCCTAAGGTAAAAGAGAAAAAAAGCCACCGCTTCCCTATTGGCCGGGCCACGGTCACATGACCCCGTGCGGCGGCGGCGGCGGCGGCCTCACTTCCGCCGGGCGGCGGGTCCCGCGGGCTCGGAGTTCCGGAGATCTGGTAGGGCCTTCTGGGGCTGCGGCGGCGTCGGGCCCCGTTGCTGTCCCCCCCGCTGGTGTCCGCCCCGGGGCCTCCGCTGCCTGCGGCGGTGGAGGGTGTGGTCCGCGCTGGAGGACCCCGGGGGCCCCGGGTGACAAGTGATGTGGAGTCGGGGGTCGCCCTGCTTAGTTCTGGATGGCCTGGGACTCAAGATCCGCCTGCGCCTGCCTCCGGAGCGCTGGGATTAGAGGCGCCATCATTATTATTATTTTATTATTAATGTTACTATTCACAGAGATCCGCCTGCCCCTGCCTCCTGAGGGCTGGGATTAGAGGCCCCATCGTTATTATTATTTTACTATTATTATTGTTACTATTCACAGAGATCCGCCTGCGCCTTCTTCCTGAGGGCTGGGATTAGAGGCGCCATTATTATTATTTTATTATTATTATTATTACTCACAGAGATCCTCCTGCCTCTGCCTCCCAAGCGCTTGGATTAGAGGCGTCATTATTATTGTTGTTATTATTATTATCATTACTCACAGATCCGCTTGCCTTTGCCTCCCAAGGGCTGGGATTAAAAGCGCTATTATTATTATTATTATTATAGAGATCCGCCTGCCTCTGCCTCCCAAGCGCTTGGATTAAAGGCGCTAGTATTTTAATTTATTTTGGTCTTTTCAAGACAGGGTTTCTCTGTGTAGCCCTGGCTGTCCTGGAACTCACTCTTATAGACCAGGCTGGTCTCGAACTCACAGAGATCCGCCTGCCTCTGCCTCCAGAGCGCTGGGATTAGAGGCGTTCTTATTTCATATTTATTTAGTGCGCGCGCGCTCCACAACACGCGTGCAGAAGTCACAGACAGCTTGTGGATCTCACGGCTGCAAGCGCTTTACCCCCCCCCCCCCAGTCATCCCAGGGTCCTGGTTCTAATGCTTTGCTCGGCCGGTCCTCGGTGCCCCCCACCCCACCCCGGTGTGCATACGGTTGATTCTGAGATGCAGAATTCCAACCCGCGCGTCCACCGGAGGAGCCCGAGGCCGGGCGGGTGCTGGCTGGGGGCGGCGGCGGCGGAGGGGCTGCTACTCCCGACCTCACCCCCAGCCCCCGCGCCCCTCTTCCCCAGGCTGCGCCCCATGGCGTCGTCCCAGGGTCGGCGGCGGAGATCGGGGACGGTGGTACCCGGGGAAGCGGCGGAGACCGACTCGGAGCTGTCCGCGTCCTCGTCGGAGGAGGAGGAGCTGTACCTGGGTCCCTCGGGCCCGACGCGCGGCCGCCCCACGGGGCTCCGTGTGGCCGGGGAGGCGGCGGAGACCGACTCGGAGCCGGAGCCGGAGCCCACGGCGGCGCCAGGAGACCTGCCCCCTCTCGTGGTGCAGCGTGAGGCGGCGGCGGAGACGTGGGGCACCGAGGAGACCCCGGCCGTCGCGCCCGCGCGCTCGCTCCTGCAGCTCCGGCTGGCCGAGAGCCAGACGCGCCTGGACCACGACGCGGCGGCCGCGGTGAGCAGCGTGTACCGCCGTGCGGGCCGGGATGTGGCCGCCCTGGCCGGGAGGCTGGCAGCTGCTCAAGCCACGGGCTTAGCGGCCGCGCACAGCGTGCGCATGGCTCGCGGGGACCTCTGTGCCCTCGCCGAGCGCCTGGACATCGTGGCTGGCTGTCGCCTGCTGCCGGACATACGAGGGCTGCCGGGCATGGAGTCTGAGCAGGACCCAGGACCCAGAGCCTAGGCTGCCACCCTGTGTCCCCCGTCCTGTCCCTTCCCCCTCCCACCCGACTCCCCTTTGATCTCGGATCTCCGCGGGCCCCCAATGTGTGGTAGCCTTTGATTTATTCCGACACCCTGGCATCTTCATTGGTTTGCCTCGATTTTATTTATTCTTCGAACGGTTCTGGAATTCTCCACCCCCAAAACTCGGTCCAGGTTTTGTGGGCATCAGCTCTGGTCTGTTTCCTAAATCAAGCTTTACTCTTGGGCTAGGCTGGGCTTTGATTTCTTTTGTGGAACCTTCCTGGGTCTAGGCTGGAGAGGGGAGGGGACTCCCTCTAGCTTACATTCTCAAATGATGGCCACTCCTGACCCAAGGGGACCTTCCCACACGCCCCACAGACCACTGTGGCGGCACGCGGGAACCAAGCCAGACCTAGGTCATAACCCTTGACCCACCCATCGGGCCCTGTGGACAGGGCAGCACCCCCTGGTGATTTTTGTCACTGTAAGACCTGAATGACTACCTACCACTCACTGTGGTGGTTTCTGGACGCCAAAAGGACGTGGATTTCTGACCTCGCTGGGCACTAAGGACAACAGTTCCGTTTTTTTTTTTGTTTGTTTGTTTGTTTGTTTGTTTGTTTTGCCTGTTTGGGTCCTGGCTTTGCTCTCTCTTGGCCCTATTCGTAGTCACTCCCTTTGTCTTACTGTCCAGTCCCAAGCTGACTCCTAGGATGCAGAGGTGGGGGAGAAATTCTCTGGACTGACAAGGCGTCAGTTTCGCTGTCTTCCACCTAAGTGAAGTGAATGGTGATTTCTCCAGAGAAGGGTCCCAGAGGCACCGGCCCAGCCTGTTTCAGGTGAATGTGGGGTCTGGAGAGAGATGGTCAGAAGCACTGACAGCCCTTGCAGCTGTCCCCAGGTCAGTCCCCAACACCTGTCGGCAGCTCACAGCTGTACCCTCAGCTCCCGTTTATCCAGTGTCCCCTTCTGGATGCACATATACACACTACCACATACAGCACACATCAATAGAAACTTCAAGGTAAAGCTCTTAGAAAATCAGAGCCTAGAGATGGAGAGACAGCTCAGCAATGAAGAGCACTGGCTGCTCTTCCAGAGGACCCGGGTTCAATTCCCAGCACCCACATGGAGGCTCACAAGTGTCTAACTCCAGTTCCTGGTGATCTGGCGTCCTCACACAGACATACATGCGGGCAAAACACCAATGCACATAAAAATAGACAAAATCATTATTGCCTTCATAATACAATTAGTATATTCTTTTTTTTCTCCCCCTCAAGACAGGGTTTCTCTGTGGCTTTGGAGGCTGTCCTGGAACTAGCTCTTGTAGACCAGGCTGGCCTCAAACTCACAGTAATTTGCCTGCCTCTGCCTCCCGAGTTCTGGGGCTACAGGCATGCACCACCACTGCCCAGTTGCCTAAGGTAACTTTGGATGCACTGTGGAGCTCCACTGACCACAAACTCAGCAATCCTTCTGCCGCAGCCTGCCAACTACAGGGTTCTAGGTAGGGCAAAACCAGGTGGCTTAGTGGCTAAGAACACTTGCTTTGGAAGTATGTGGACCTGGGTTCCAGCACACATGTAAAAAGCTAGGCATAACAGGGCTGTGGTGGTGGTGGGGGCGGCGGGGGGCGGTGGCGGCGCACGCCTTTAATCCCGACACTCAGGAGGCAGAGGCAGGTGGATGTCTGTGAGTTCGAGGCCAGCCTGGTCTACAGAGCGAGTTCCAGGACAGCCAGGACTGTGCACAGAAAAAGCCCAGTCTCGGAAAACAAAGACCAAAGCTAGGCATAGGTGCTCATGCTGTAACCATAGCATTGGTGGTGGGGAGGACAGTGGATCCTGAGAGCTTGCTGACCAGCCAACAGAGCAGGAAAGGCATGCTTCCGGTTCAGTGGGACCCTGTCCCAAAGCAGTAAGGCAAAGGACCAGGGGTGAGGGTAACAGAAGAGGACACCCAGCAACCTACTCTGGCATCAACATGGGCACATGTGTACTCACACTGTGTGCACGCGCTCACACACACACACACTCAGAATAGAATAGAGGTCTACAGTGTCTCCAACCAGGATCTGGCTGGGTCCAAGTTGGGGGTGAACCAACCAACAGGCAGAATCTGTAGTTGATGCAGGAATGTAGCTGCAGCTAGGGAAGGGACAGGGGTGGGGCTGAGGGTCCGACACCCTCCCCCTTCTATCCCTTCTACAGAGCAAGGGAAAGAGCAAAGTGCAGTTGGACTTCGCCTGATCTTGGAGCTCTGTCCCCATCTATGCGGTCTCCTGCGTGGGCACAGTGTCTCTGAGCCTGTCTTTTCTGAATGACTGGAGTGACCAGGCTGGTCTCGCTTGCACAGTGAACACTGTAAGCATGTCCTGTACATTCCGAGGTGCGATTAAGCCAGTTACACTATCCTTGAAGTGGGACACTGTTCCCAGCCAGCTGGTCCTCTCCCTGGCTCTCTGCTGCCCTCTGTTGGAAATCCTGAGAAGACGGGATGTAGTTGCCTGTGGGAATTCAGGGCAACAGTCACAACCTACTGTCCCTAGGGAGACCCCTTCCGAGATACCTTGTCTACCTTGATACACATGTCTACCTTGAGCCTGGCTCTGACCCTTCATATTCTCCTGTTCTAACTTTTCAAAAATTAATTATCTTGGGTGGGAAACTGTACTGCCACCTGTAGCTTATGGATGATCTAAATTTTTATTTAAAAAATTTTGGGGGAGTGGGCATGGTCTCATGTACCCCAGGCTGCCAGGAATCCCCTGGAGATAACCTTGGGCTGCTGTTTTTTGAGATTATAGACCTATGCCAATGCTCCAGGATGATTTTTTTTTTTTAGCATCTTATATTTGGGTTTTGGAGACAGGGTTTCTCTGTGTAACTCTGGCTGTCCTGGAGCTCACTATGTAGACCAGGCTGACCTCAAACTCAGAGCACTTTCTGCCACTACATCTGAGTGCTGAGATTAAAGGTGTGTGAAACCACACCTGACTTTTAGTTTTAAAAATATCTGGCCAGGCGGCGGTGGTGGCGCACACCTTTAATCCCAGCACTTGGGAGGCAGAGGCAGGTGGATATCTGTGAGTTCCAGGCCAGCCTGGTCTACAGAGTAAGATCCAGGACAGTTATACAGAGAAACCTTGTCCTGAAAAACCATTTAAAAAATAAAAAAGATTTACTGTGTGTACCTGTGTATGGTGTGTGCATGGGTGTGTGTGTGTCTGTTTGTCTGTCTATGTATCTGTGTGTACAGCCCTCAGAGGCTAGGAGAGGGCGTCAGACATGGTGGTGCTGGAGATACAGGTGACTTATGAGTCTGATGTGGGTCCTGGGAAGCAAACTTGGATCTTCTGGAAAAGCAACAAGCACACTTACCATGGAAACAGCTCTCCAGCCCCCACTTGCTTAACTGTATTTTAAATTACATCCATTTTTAAATTTAGTGTGTTGTGTGGCACATGTACTGGGACCTGCACACGATGGTCAGACGTAACGGTCAGATCTCTACTTCCACCATGTGGGTCCCCAGACTAGACTCGGGACATCACGCTTGGTGGCAAGCTCCTTTACCTGCAGGCCAGCGAGATGGCCCTCGGGTAGCTTTACGATCCCATTTTATTTTCACTAGAGGTTTTGTACCTGTGGCTCTTTAAAAAAAAAAAAAACATTTTGTTTGGTCAGACCATGGTGGTGGCGCACACCTTTAATCCCAGCGCTCTGGAGACAGAGGCAGGCGGATCTCTGTGAGTTCGAGGCTGGGCTGGACCGATAGCCTCCAAAACAATACAGAGAAACCCTGTCTCAAACAACAAACAAACAAATCACTGTGTGTGTGTGTTCATGTGTGTATGTGTGTGTTCATCTGTGTGTGTTCATGTGTGTGTATGTTCATGTGTGTGTGTTCATGTGTGTATGTGTGTGTTCATCTGTGTGTGTGTGTATTCATCCCAAGCATGGTGTGCCCCAGTGCCTGTGTAAGCTCAGAGGATAGCCTTGGGTCCTTGTCTTCTATCTTGGTTCACTGTTGCCTACACCAGGTTAGCTGACCCAAAAGTTCCTGGGAATTCTCCCGTGTCTGCCTCTTGTCTTAGCAAAGGAGAATTACAAATGTCCTCTAGTGCCCGGCTTTATGGAAGTTCCCAGGAGGATTTGAACTCAGGACCTCACACTTGTGAATCTCCCCCTGGGGCCCTTGGTTCTAACATTCCAGAAGCTTGTCTCCATCTATAACTGATCGAAGATGACCTTCAGGGGACACAGCACTGACAGACAGGGAGCCGTCTCCCTACTCCGGTTCTGTCCCCCCTAAGGTCCATCTCTCCATTTCCCCTGCCTCAGCCCAAACCAGGTGCGTGTTTCTCGGCAAATAGTTAATTTTGTGCAAAAGAAACCTAACTCATTCGAAGACGGAACTCAGGCATCTGGTAGCTCTTCCTCTTGCCCCAGGCCTCTCTGTGACATTCCACGGACTGTCACTGCAGATAAGTTCCTGAACCTTTGGTATGTCTAAATATCCTATTTTGTCTCCTGCTTTGAAAGAATGTTTTCAATCGGGTCATCCAGATGGCTCAGGAAGAAAAGGCTCCCGACAACGCGCCAGACCTGAGTTCCATCTCCGGCTCCCACATGGTGGTGGAAGAGGAGAACCCTCTCTTGTCCTCTGACCTTCACATGCACCACGGCGCACACACATAAATAAACAAGCAACACAAATATTTAAAGGATACGGTCGGAAGGCAAGTCATGGCTAGATATTGTTTGTAAGATCGAAACATTACCAAGCGTTTTCTCTGACCACAGCGGAAATTCAAATCAAGGGACGTCTGAAAACACCACAAGTATTTGGAAAGTAAATAGCCCAGAGGTCAAAAAGGGAAGTTAAAAAATAGGAATTATATGAAACTAAAATGAGAGAGAAAATAGGAATGGGGGAGGGTAGTGAGTCGGCTGTTTGGGTAAACGCGTGGCAGCCATACCTGATGCTCAGAGTTAAATTCCTGGGACCCTGTGTTGAAAGCAGAGGAGTCGCCTCTGAGCTCAGCCGTTTACACACCACACATAAGTACATAAATGCGAGGAGAGAGAGAACAAAAGAACCAGGCTCTGAGGTACATG